ACAGACAAATTTATATCTTTTATGTATAGATATCAGGCATGAATAACTAACGCGACACTCGGAGAAAAAAGAAGGCCAAAACTCATTAGGGAAGCACCACTGTCATATTAATAAATCATGACACACTATACAGAAAAAAAGTAGAAGATAAATCATTGATATATTAGTACGCATCCATGTGAATGATACTTAACAAAAGATCTGATAAACTTAATATATAATAATCAAAAAGTCATTTGTTTTTATGTTACCTGTATTAATATGAAGTCTTTTTATTTTATGCTGAATATATATAGTCAAAATTACACTTGATATATTGTAATATTATCCGATAAGTTTTTTTGTTTTTTTTTTTTTGTCTAAAAATCCCTAGAGACTAGCTTTTATTCTTACAAAAGAATATAATAAAAATAAAACGATATAAAAAGAAACAAAGAAAAGATTTCCCTTAAGAACGAACATATGTAAGTTGTGCTTGGTAAGATAATTGAAGAATTATTTTCTTTTTATCAATAATTTTTGATTACCTCAATAGAATTATTCATCATATATTATGGAAACCAGTTAAAATATTTATTACAATTGTATTCAATGTGAATTTCTAGATTTTAATTAATAAAAAAAAAAAAAAAGAAAAATATTATTTTGAAACGAATATAATACACAAGATATTTAATCGATTTTATAATGAAAACCCAATCAGATTATTTTTAATCTAAAGGGAAATTATTTTCTTGAATTAATTTCGATCTAAATCGTCATTATTTACTCATAAATACTTTCATACCTCCAGTATGAAAATTAATAGTTTTACTTTTTTTTTCTAATCAATAACATTTTTAAACGTAGTTATTCGTCAATATAATTTTTTAGTTAAATTTTCTTTATTGAAATTTGTTCAGGTCGACATGTTTCGATTAATCTATTCGTTGAAATGTAAATATAATTAGTTAATTTACAGTATATAAATCAAGTTATATTGATTTAATATTGATCATTGACAATATTTTCGATATGTAAGATATTATATTTCTTTTGTTAAAATATAACAGAAAAATATATTACAAATGATGATGATCAAATTACTTATCATTTTCTTCTTATGAATTTTTTATTGAAGAATATTTCATTGTTATTAGTTTTATAATATTATAAAAATAATTTATCTGAAATCTATTTTATTTATTTCTGATTGATTGTTTTTTCACTAGATCTATAGAACGAAAAATATACAAGAATAATTATTTATATTCCTATGTTTATGATATTCTTTTCTGAATTATTATCGATACGATTAACTTTACGAGAATTTTCTTTTAGTCTATCAAAAACTTTTAATACATATTTTTTAGTTGTCAAATTGATTGTGCTTGTTTTTTTTTCATTTGCACGATCATCATTCTGTAAAGCAATTGTATTTGATAAATATTTATTTTCATGTAAAAGAATTCATTATTTTTAATAAATATTTATTGTACTTATATTGTCAAAGAACAAATCATTTTCTTTTTTCATTATATATAACTGAACAGAAAATAATATTTTATTAAATAATTAATGAATTTTTTTAAACAATATTTGTACTAAGTGAAAATGAAAACTATGATATAAGTTAATTTGCTTTCATGTTATTTCGATAATATCTTTATATATGATTAATTTTATAAAATATGTTCGCTTGGATTTGATTCGAATAGATTTAAATCTTTTCATTACTCTATTTTTTACTATTTGAATAACTGAAGGTTAAAGAAAATAATAAATAATTATAAAAATAGAATACTTATTTCCGATTAGCAAACCACTTACATCAAATATTTGTATAGTTCTCACATGAGTTATAGAATTTTTTAAAATGAATGCAATAGTCCTAACATCTCATCTCTAGGATCATCAAAAGAATCTCTTCTTTTCATAATAACTACTTCTGTAATAAGAGATTTGTTAATCGTAATTGATAAATTTTATTGATTCATGATTGTAGACCATTTTTTTTTGTGTTTTTCACTCTATCATGCTTTTAATATATTATGTTCATTTGATAAACAAAGTAGCCTCTTTGCTAAAAAAAAAACAAAAATCAAATATTAACAAACTTATACAAAGGATGAATTATAGATGTTTGATGTTCTTGATTTTATCTTCAATATTAAATGAATTACTAATTTGAAGATCATCAAGTAATGAATGATGAACATTCATGAGAGAATCAACCTCCTACACAACATCTTGCAGTTTAAATGAGAATGGTTGAATATCAAATTGTTGATTTATATAAAAAACAACAATGTAAGAAAAAGTCAAGTGTATCACTTGAACATTTCAATGACTATAAGAAGATAATTATATGTTGAACAGGAAATCCGAAATATTAGATTTAATAAAAACAAAAAAAAAAAACAAACTTAAAATTCTTTTTCACAGGCAGAAATCAAGATAATATTTTTCAAGGATATTTTTATAACATAATTATTAAATAATTGTCTAGAAAAATTCTAATAATTATGAAATCAAAGAGTTAGATTCAAAATGTCTTAATGCAAAAAGAACTTCTTTCTACGGTTTATAGAATTCCTTTTTAATCCTTATAAAAAGCCTTCAATGGTAAATTGAACGAGCCTCAAGCTATCCAATACATAAGCGATAACATGATTAAAAAACTAATCTTCTACATGAATCGAATAATTTAATCGATTTATTTTTGAAAACAAAGAGTAAACTAACAAAACATGTGGATTCATTATTGCTTTTATAACATTGAGTTCTTTCTTGTATATTTCGTTTCACAAATTTTAATGATGTTAAAACTGTTTGATCCAATCGAGTAGATTGTCTTAGTTTATGTTCCATTGATTTATTTTGGGAATAAATAAAATTGATTGAACATGTGTCATCAACATGTAAATATGTATCGAATCAAATTAATCTATTGACGAATGTTGATGAGAAATTTTCGGAATGATTAAAGCATTTACCAACAATACCATTTCCATTATTCATAACATATGTATCTAAAATAATGACAAACTTATTAGAATATTTATATTTTGATTGATTGACTTCGATGATGTCTATTCTTGACAATAATAAAGCGTATGAACAGTGCATCAATGGAGATTTCTACAACTGTTTTTTGTGTTTTTTTCGAAGTGATACCTTTTAGTAGTTTGTCATTGACATCAAGTATCTCATATTTTCTTGGTTGAAAATTTCTCTCGTAAGATTATTTATTTATCATATAACAACTTGTCTAATGGTAATTGATCATAATGAATAGTTCGATATTTATCTTCTTCAAACTTATTGTAAAACACATAAGAATCTGCCGATCTATGTTCTTTAAATAATCGATTTTCTAAAAGTGAATAATAATTAAACTTGCAAATTTTCTAAAATTGTATAAACATTTGAAATTGTTTGAGAATATCATAACATACTATATTACAAAATATTCAAAGAAAAAAAAATCCAGATAGTCTTCATTAATTATTTCTTAATCAGAAAGTAATTCAAGCAGAGTTAATGTACCAGAGGATGCTCTATCTTCACATTGTATCCCTGGTATGACATCACCAACAAAAAAATGCCAACGATATCGATTATCATCATAATGACAATCAGTTATTTATTCCCAAGTACATTGATAATTACTAAAGTGATCTTCGAATTCGATTGGAACAAAAATCTTTGCAGATGAACCTTCCCTCGGGGCCGGGCCGAGCCGGGCAGTTATAGAAAACTAGATGGACCGGACCGAGCCATAAAAAAGCGTCCTGTTTCGAGCTCCGATCCACATTAACACTCATATCTGTCTCTAAGAGTTCCACAAAAAAAGACACACACAGAGCATCTTTTTTGATGAGAGCGACGCAGAAACACGCATACACAGGTAATCTCTCACTTTGACTTCCAGGGAAAAACATTTACAGGTAATCTCTCTCACTGTAGTTGTCACAGAAACATAAAGTTATGTGCCAACACACACACGCAAAATATCACATCAGCTTTGAGTTTTACGAAAACGGATTCATATGCTGTTCATATTATTCTCAGTGCATCAGTGGATTCTTATTTCGATATTTGATTTGATGATTCATGCATATATGATCATAGGCTCATGTAGTCTATTTACTATGCAGATAGACAATGTCGAAAAGATTGAAAAATTCGTGAATGATATATGTACTTTTTTTTTGGACAAGCGCATCAATGATATCAGCTTTTGACTTCGATCCAGAATCAATCAAAAGACAACCGTGTATGACTACAATCAAACAAATACTTAATATATCACCAAACCTTTTACACCTTGTAATAGCGTAGAACGATTTTCGTCATTGTACACAAACTTGACACATGTGTATCTCTTACTACTAGATTGATTATATTTCGATTCTAAATAACATCTTAATGTTTGTCGATTAAGTCAATTCGCACTTCATACATGTTGTTATGAAACAAGTGGTACAAATATTATGTTCAATAAGGTTTTCAAAGTATTTGAGTTGGTAGTCATGCTTAAAAATAATTAGAAAAAGATGAAATGAATATTTCATTGCACAAAGAAAAGACTTTTCATGACATTTGATTTTTTATAAATATTTTTCAAGCTAATAATAATAATACTGATGAAACAAAAGAAAAAATTATCAGTAAAAACAAATATATAAGCGTTCAACTATAAATATAATACAAACAAACAGATAAAAACAAATAAGATCGTTGAGAAACATTTATATTTTTTGACTATATTCTTAATACTTCTATCTTTTATTAACTAATTCGTGATAAAGCTTCCATGTAGATCTTAGTAGAAAAACTTTTTAAAGTTTTTCTCAAATTTCAACAAAAAAAAAAGCTTTCAGAAATATTTTAATATAATACTAGAGAAGAAGTCTATACATTATGTCCATATCTCTACAAATATTCATTCTCCATATTGATCATTTAATAAATAATATATCATATTCTTCTCTTTTTTGATATATAAAATTATATTATTAATTCGTTAGTAAAGTTGCAGCACTCGATGGTGAAATTTGTCTATACCAAATAAATTGTAGTGCATCGATATATCCAAGTGCATTGCCTCGAATATAAGCCAATGTAAAATTTGAAAAACTTTCATCCATTTGTGTTCCATTAGATGAACCAAATAGTTCACTTGATCGTTCTTTATCTGTATAAAAACGTAAACCAACAACAAGAAATGTACCATTTGGTGCAAAAGGATTATCAATAAGACGTGTATTTGTATAAATTGTTACACGATTAATACTTTCATCAGGATTCAAAACAAATTCAGAGATATATGGTGAATAACGATATGTTTGACGACCACGTTGCATCGATCGTTTATTTGAATAAAGAAACGTTACATAGTCAAGTGTATCGGATGTCCAACCAGCACTAATAGTTACTATTTTATCATATAAAGTTAATTGACAATCACGAGCATCATTAAATTCATATCCACCTCCTCTATTTCCATAGAAATCACCTGATTGAATCAATAAAATACCTATGAATAAAAAAAAAAAAGTAAAATAATAATTTTTTCTTTCTTTTGAAAAAATATATACCTGATATTGAACGCTTTGATTTTGTTAAAAAAATAATAAGTAATATTAAAATAAGAATACAAATAATATGTAAAAGAAAGAAAATAAGTTGACATTTTGTTAATCGTGATTTAAGTTTTTGTTTTAAAAATATTAAATTTATCTTAAATTGTTTCGTTTCAGATTGAATTTGTGTTTTTGTTAAATGTAATGTATCATTATGAATATCGTTTGCATTGAATGATATCGTTACTTGACTTGATGCAGAATCACGTTGTTGTGAATCGTTTGATGACACACAATCAGAAAGATTTTCTAGAATATTTTTTATTAATTTTGAATATTAATTTATAATCTATTATTAAAACCTTACGGTTAGGATTCATTGTATCTTCTTCGTTATCATCAAATAAATCTGGAAGATTTATAATAGTTTCATTTTGATTTCTTTGTTTTTGAACTAATTGATGTTCTAAAATATCAAATATAAATGAATTAATATTAATTGTTAAAAGTTAAAATAAACCTTTAAGTCGTTGAACTGCTTGATAACAATGTATTTCATTGAATGTATGAATTAAATAATCAAAATCTTGTTCGCTTATTTTTGCTTGATCAAAAAGTGATTCAAGAAGATCAAGCGTACCACCAAGTGTTGGATTATCACGTAAACGTCTTGGTATAGTATCACCAACAATAAAATGAAGACGTCGTCGATCATTATCTGATAAACAATCTTGAAGTTTAAGTAATAAAGCTCGAAAATCAAATTGTTCATCCATTTATTACAATAGACAATTAAGTTAAATTTCAAAAAAACAATTGTTTTGTTTTCAATCAATAGAATAAATTTTATGTCAATGAACGTATATTGTAGTCGATATTTTTTTTTTCATTAAACAATAACATAAATATAAAATCGAGGTAACAGAGACTTGAAACGTCTTTTTAATACTCCAAGCTCACTCTCGAATATTTAAAGTTAGTAATAATAATACGCACTCACCTATAAATATATAATATTAGGATAAAAAAAAAAGAACGTCATACTTCATGACGTGTAGAAAGAAACCAATCTTGCGAAGGTGAATATCATATTTGATGACACAATATACTGACTAATTAATTAGATACCTTTGCACGTTTTCCCAAGTAAATGTGTAAGCAAATTCGTACAATACCTATCAATGGATGAAGTAATCACTATCTAAATATATCATTCTCTATGACACAGCAAAAAGTTCGTTTTTTTCTTTCTTCATATAGTCAATATCGGTTTGTTTATATACTCATTCAAGGTATAACGTGGTAAATATGATCATGCATAAAATAAATGTTGAATAATACTTCATACGATAGTAAGTATATATTTTAGCTTGTTATAAAACATGATATTGAAGTATAGGAGTAGAAATTTGTGCCTCCCTCGACTGTAGACATGACAGATACCTTAGCAACAGCTCATCATAGACCGTGACAGACATAACCACGAGATAAAAATCCACTGCGGGATTAATATGATAGTTGTCCTTTACTTTTCTTTCGCACTCACTGCAATGTATTACGATTAATATCTTTCATCATCGACATGCATTAACAATAGGTAATAATTCATAAACCGAAACATATATTGATTAATTCTCTCTTTTATAAAGGCAACAGCTTCATCATGTTTCAAATTTTAATTCGACAGGAATTACACTAACAACTTTTCTATAGAGAGAAATCCAATCTATTATAAAGTAAGTTGTTTATTAACAGAAAAAAAAATTTAAACAAATAAATTACTAAAATTTTCCTTATAGATAAAATAAATCAATTCAAGTTTTTCTCTATTATTACTATTCTAATTTGTGTAAATTATTTATACCAAATAGATTGAAATACATAAGATCAACCTTGAACATAAGTTAATGTATAATCATAAAATACTTCATCATTTGCAGTGCCATTGGATGAACCAAATAATTTTGGCAAAAAAATGTAAACCAACAATGATCATAGTTCCATTTAGTCTATATGAATTAATTATATCACGTAAGTCTCTATAGATAATAACATTATTAAAACTCTCTTCAGTCAGTAAATTAAATTCACTAGAATATAATGAAATTCGTACGGCATCACCAATGCAATATTGTGATTTTTTACTATTTGAGTAAATGAAAGTAATTGAATTAAGTGTATCAAAAGAGACCATGTTGCAGTAATACTAATTAATTATCGTTTAAAATCAATGAATTATTAATTGCATTATCAAATTGATCACTACCAAGTCTTTCACCATATAGAATAGCTTCTCTAATTTATAAAAATATCTAAATAAAAGCAATAGATTATCAATAAAATCATATAATTAGTTACTTACTTTCAGAATCCGTTTCTTTTATAGTACAATATTGTTTTGGTAGAAAAATAATTACTATGACAAAAATTATAATACTCAAAATATTTAAAATTAAAAGTATAATTTGACATGTTATGAATTTTGATTTCAATATTTGTTTTTATAATTGTTAAATCAATGTTTACAATTTATTTCTGAGATTTAATAGAGATGATTGGTATTTGTAATTTGTCTATATTATTGTCAGTTGATATTCTAAGAATTATATTGTAAAAGATATAAAAATAAATAAAGATACCTTGAAGTCGTTTGACATGCCTTCATAACAATGTATTTCATTGAATGCATGAATTAAATAATCAAAATCTTGTTCATTTATTTTTGCTTGATCAAAAAGTGATTCAAGAAGATTAAGTATACCACCAAGTGTTGGATCATCACGTAAAATGTTTTGGTATAGTATCATCAACAATAAAATGAAGATGTCGTCGTTTATTATCTGATAAACAATCTTGAAGTTTAAATAATAAAGCTCGAAAATCAAATTGTTCATTCATCAATTTAACGTACACTTATGGACACTAAATGTATATAAATTGAATAGAATAAATTTCTTTTTTATCAGAACTATTTTATAAGAAGGTTCTTTTCTATGATGGACGTAAGGTAATATGACTATACTACTGATATGCAAGTATTTATTAATGTATGAAAAAAAAATTATTTTTCTGCTTCTACTTTATGACGTTGCAAATATAAATCGTCACACATCATTACTCAATATCAGTATCCGAAATACGAAAAAAGAAATATAAGAGATTGTGCACTGATAGTTGCAAGAAGAAAATGGATGAGTGTAAAATCATGATTATTTTTGTATGTTAATGAATATATTCATTATATACGAAATAAGCTTTCGAATATCAAAAAAAAAAAAGAAACACTTTTTTTCATCAATTCATATATCTATTTTAATAAAGTAAAATAAAAAAAATAGATTTTTATAATTTATATTTCTATCTACGTCTATTGACGAATATAATATGATGAATAAACAAGACAACATTGATATTATGTTTTGATTTGAAAATTATTTGATTATATTAATATTAATTACTGTTAGTTCTGTCAATTTTGTAACATTCTTAAAAATAAAAGAACAATATCATGAATTTCATAGAAAATAAATGTACCATTTATTTATTTTCAAAAGAAATGAATATTGCAGGAATTAAAAAACAAGTTTTCCCGAAAAAAACATAGAAAGTTCTGTTTTAAATTTTTTTCCTCGAACACATGACTCCTTATTTTAGGTGTTCTCTCTGTAGTAAAAATTTCATACAGATTGGAGGTACTCTTAACTTATGAAGGAAGTTTTTAAGTTGAGTTAGGAACTAAGCTTGTGAGTAAGTTAGTAATTCAGAAAAGACCAAGTGGCGATTCATGATACACGTATCATAGTTGAATACTCACTCTCCATACGGTAAATATTCAACAAGCAAACAAAAAGGATGATCGTCGGAATGAAGATCGTTGGTGTAGATCATCAAATAAAAAAACGGTGATCTTTCTTGTCAACGGTAGTTTCAGTGATGAGGTATACACCATTTGCTGTTGGTCTTGATGGTCTAATTTCACGTTGTTAAATGATTGTTTTATTAAACATAATGTTTCACTGAGATATTCTTCTAACTTTTTAATATAATAAATGTTTGTTTTTCATTATCTTTGTTATTATTGATTGATTCCATTATTTCAAAACTTTTGCTTTTTTTTTTGTTTATGGTAAAATAATGAATGTGCTATAAAAACCGATCTGTTCGACTTCATACGACTTGTAATTACAATATATTCATTAATATAATAAGCTTTACTATATATTATCATCATCATTAGAATGATGTACAATATTTGTAATAAAAATCTAAATTATTCTTTTTTTATAAAAATATTTAAATTTATTTGTCAAATTTTTTTATTTTAACAATAAATTTAATATGATACAAAAATATTAATCTTTATTCTTTTTTCAAAGGCACAGTTTTTTCTGATGGGGCAACTTGTGCAACGAAAAATGTAGCAATAAAAGAAAGAACAATAGCTATTTGAATTATTAGATGTGTTTGAAGTAAGAAAAGTGATTTAATTAAAGTTAATCTTGGTAGAATTAACATTAAAATAAGTCGAATACGTTCAAGATGAAGTGCATTTTTTCTATAAGAAAAGACAAAAAAAAAACCAAATACTAATTGAAACAAAAACAAGAAAAATAATTTACTTTTGATCAAAAATAGCACCAAATGTTTGTAAAGTGTAAAGTAACATAATTGAATAAAGAAGTAATGCCAAAACCGAATAATTCTAAAGCAAAAACAAAAAGGAATAAATAAATATCAAAATATTTTAATATCTAATTTACTTTTGAATATTTAAGTACTGCACTATATTGTATTATAACATACATAAAATGTACAAATGTATATACTGATAATTCTGTTGATATATTTGGATGATAAACACGAATAGGATATTTTACTTTTGGAAATTTATCACTACCCAATCGAGGTAAACCTGGTTGCCATCCTGGACCTTTCCAAATAACAGATAATTTATTTGACCATCCTTCAGTTTTGAAAAATTGTTTAAAAATATATTTAAAATGATTAAACTATTAAAATAGACAAAATATAATTATTTTCTTATTAAAATAAATTTTTTAAATTACTTGTGTTTCTAATGGATCAAATGTATTTATTGGATGTATAAGACCATAAGCAATTTCTTCATCTTTACGTTCAGCAGCAAATGTACCAAATAATCTATCCCATATAATAAAAACTCCAGCATAGTTTTTATCAATACAATATGGATTTCGTCCATGATGAACACGATGATGACTTGGTGTATTTAATATATATTCAAATGGACCAAGATTTGATATAACATCTGTATGAATCCAAAATTGATATAATAAATTCATTTGTTCATGAATTAAAAATATTTGAGGTGGAATCACTAAAGCTAATGGCAAATAAAAAATCCATGAGAAATATATTTGTGCAACACTTTGTCGAAGTGCTGTTGATAAATTATAGTATTCCGATGAATGATGTGTTTGATGTGAAGCCCAAAAAAGATTAACCTCTAAATAAAAATTCAATAAAAGACAAGAATTAATTTTTAATTTACCATGTGCCATACGATGGAACCAATAATAACCAAGATCCATTCCGAAAAATGTAATCCAATATGTTATTGGTGAATTCCATGATAATCGTGGAAAAATACGAACATTTTCATATACCCATATGTATGTTGTCAATTGAATTGATCGAAAAAAGAATCTTTATTAATAGGGAAAAAAAATAGTTAATAATGTTTTATATTCTTTTTTTTCTTTCATACCGGGGTATACGTGAAATAATACCAGCTGTCACTGAGCCGAATGTATCATTAAAACGTGGTAAAATCTTTCCTCGATATATAGCAATAACGAATTCTAATATTTGTAAAACAAGAAAAAGTTGAACAACCTAAAATAATTGAAAATTTAAAAAAAAAAATTTTTTTAATTTATTTACTTTAACAATATAATCTGGAACATCTTCAAGTCGTTCAAAGTATGTTTCAGATGGTAAAAGTAAATAAAACATTGCTCGAAAAGCTGTAAACGTCGTGCTCATCTTTTTGACTCTACTTATTGTTATTACAAAAAACAAATGCAAAGAAGTTATACAAGACGTTTATATTTATTTATTGTATCTAGGTCATTTTTTTTCGTCATCATCCTTTTCTTATTGTATGAAAAAAAAAACTCGTGATACGACCTTTTTTAATAGAACGAAAAGGAAAAAGAACTTTATGACGTTGAATAACCAAGTTCTATTTAGATAATGATAAGAAATGTGTAAATACGTCTACATATATGAATCTCGAAATTTCTAAAGTATTTCTCAAAAACAAAGTTTCGTTGTTTGTTTAAAAAAATTTGATATTAGAAACAAAGATTATTTTTACTTTCTTGGTAATTTAAAATTCTAATTTTTTTAAAAGAATTTTATTATAATCATTAGAAAACAAATTTTTACTTTAATCTCATTAGATTTTTTATTTGATTATGTGTAAATAGATCTGAAAGCAATATCAATTGGTGACAAGAATCTCTTTTAAAAATGTAAATTTATGTATCATCAATATGTACTTGATCTACATGCATGCGAATAAACCGCCATCTGTCAGATGTATTATTTGTTTTTTTCAAGTAAACCCTTCACAGAATAACAATGTCACAGAGTTCTAATTTGTTTTGTAAATCAAAGAGGATTTTTACGACAATCAACTTTTTTTGTATTGTACCTATGCCTTCATTAGCTTATGCAGCTGTTTTCAAAAAAAGTTGCACAAAATTAAACTTTTCATGTAATGGTTTTCTTGTCATTCGAAAGCAATTATAAAATTCATTTTTTCAGGAATATAATTATGTTCGTTAGCTATATTACACGTTGACCATACAGAAGTGTGATTTCTTTTCTTTTCGATACATATACATTCAATCATGACATCATTTAGTGATTTAAAAAACCATCATATATTAATGTTATATTATTGGAACAAAGGCGTACTATCTACTCATGTTATTCGTCATGAAACAAATATTTTGCTAAGGACTATCTATTACAATATCAATAAACTGAAATAGACAAATTCACTTAAACATCGAGGTGGAAATGGTCAGCCACATGTCCTTAGCAGAATAGAAAAAAAAACTATTGGTCAATATATTCGACGTAATAATGAAATAACCCTTAAAGAAATCCATACATGTAAAACTCGAATAGTCGTTACGAGTAGTCAACTATTCGAGTATTCATCAGTTAACGACCATTAAACTATTCGAACATAGGCCAGATCGGAACGCTTAAAACTACGTACACATGCTGTGGGTGCCATGAAACATTGATCAGATCGTAACGACAAAAACCCTGCTGACATACGCCGGGTTCCATGGAACAGGAATAGTCGGAAAGTCACAAAATCATTAGTAGTTGAATAGTCAAATAATTGAATAGTTGAAAAGTCGTTACGACTTAACGAGTTCTACACTACTGCTTGATGGTTCATATTATGTTTATATTCTTGAAAATTATCTTCTTCCTGCTGCCAGATGTAAGTAATGAAGGAAAACAAGGCAGCTTCACTGTTTGTTTCTTCGTTTTAGAACAATTTCATGAAAATTGGCATTTACAACAGGATAATAATCCGAAACATATTAGTGATATTACTAGACGATTCATCAACAACAATATACCGCAATTATTAGAGTAGTCATCTAATAGGTCAGATGTCAATCCTATCGAAAATATTTGGTCAATCGTAAAACATAAAGTTGAAAAAAAGAAAATCCAAAAACATTGATGAACTCGAGCTTTTTTATCTGAAGACTTTAAAAATGTTGGTATTAATATGGTAAAGAATTCTGCAATGTTCATAGAAAAAAGATGTTTGTGTCTCTTATTGCTTCTAAAGGCGAACAAATAAAACGCCAAGACAGTGTTTAATAGTATTCGTCATATGCTATCAGCCAGTGTACGAAACTACATGAGAATGACATATATAGATAAGGATATATTTGCATAACAAGATATGCGAGTTTTTTGAAAATAGCTGTAATTGAATAATGAGAAGCAATGAGGTAATCTGTCCAATTTCTTCGATTGTTTTATTTTGTGCTCAGGTTGGACATGGAGGGCTTCTGCTTTGTGAAGGAATTTAAATATGTTTTCCTTGATATATATGGATCATGAATTCTTGATACTTTCTATATATTAGATTTTTATGAAATTTACAACATGAAATATAGACGATGATCCATATCAACTTTCTTTTTTTTATTAACATACACAATGAAGTCAATGAGTATTTTGAATACTTCATCATACTCATTTTCAAAAGTCATCTATTTTCAATTCAAAGTTAGAATTTAATTATCTTGAAAATTAAATCTGAAATACATGAAATGTTGGATTTGATATTTCAAAACGATCTAACATTAATGCTAAACAGTGGCATTATGATAACTGAAAATAATCAAAGGATAGTTCTGCGGCACCTCAACCATATTATATAAGAGTGATCGTCGATTTTGATAAAAATCTTCGGCGTTTCTATGTGCAGTTTTTAATCCGAAGCATTTTAGTAAAAAGAACCTGTTGTTTTTTAAAATTCTTTTGTTTTTCCACGCAAATTGACTCGAATTAATTTAAGCAATTAAACATTTAAAGCCGTTCAAAAACTGGTTGTTTTTGATCGTTTACTTCACTGGAACATGATGAAAAATAAAATGCAGGAACATCTTCGAATTTTTCGTAAAAAATGCATTAAATCATATTAAATTTTCACTTTACTATTAAAAAAGTTTCAATCTCATATATGTTCAAGCTATTTATTGACAACACAACAATAAGCAACTGTCCTGGGTCTACAAACGATTAGTTCTAATTCAAATGAAATTTCTAGAGTTTGAAAAACTGATTAAATTAACCGAAAATGATCTTTTATTGGATATTTTTTCGATGTTGATGTACATCATGTATTGGCGAAGTCTTATATCGAAAAATATGTTAGTCAGAAGTTCTATAAGTTTTGCTTTGAACATCCTGCTAATGCATAGCCGAATTAGGCTTCCTCATTAAATATGAATCTAGTATCGAATTTCGAATTTAATACGTTAATAATCTGTATTGTATTTACATATAGTTTTGTCAAGACAGTCTATATTGGCTAAATCATTCTAGATATTATTAGTGACTAGAATTGTTATTATTTTATTAATATAAAGACAAAGTTCTAGAATATCTTTTAATTTATAATTGTTATTCTAAGATGTTAATATCTCCGTATACTTCGATGCAAAATAGTGGACAAGCGTAATAATCAAATCTGAAATGCCTTATCATATCCCGAGTCTGATCTTGACTGAAAAACCAAATGACAATGTCATATATAGCACTTCTTAGAGCTCCAATCGAACTATCGAATAGTATAGAATGTTGTAGATTTATTCGAGTTTTGAGAAATAAAATAAAACATATAGACGATGTCACAAGGCAGAGCAATTATGATGAAAATATTTAGCTTTGCGTTATCTATAGCCTTTGCTAGTTTCAATCTAAGATCTTGCTCTCTGTATTTATAAATATAACAGATAAAACTTAAAGAAATTTGGATCCACATACTTATCGACAAAAAGGCTTCGTTAAATTATACCACCATATCGAGCAATGTTGCTTTTCAATATAATCAAGGATTCAAGACAGTTTTGTATTGTTATGTCGTCAATGAGATTGAAAATTATTTTTTTAAATTAAAGCCAAAATTTAAGATGATTTTTTGTATGTCTTTAAATAAATATATATATAACAAGAAAAAAAAATTTAATATCTAAAAATAATAATCTTTATAGACACGAGAACATAGAAAAAAAATAGTTATATTCTATTTAAAAAAAAAACAATTTTTATGAAAAGAACACAACAGTCTATCGAAGACGTTTTGATGGCATTGATGCTGCTCCATAAAGTTTTTCAGCACGTTTAAGAAAAGCAGATACCATTTGACGAACAACTTCATCAAAAAACATATGTGCTAATGTAGCATGTAATGCTGATCGAAATTCAAATGAAACCTAAAAATTTTAAAAGAAAATAATTTTATCAAGATCTATTGATGGAAATTTTCGACCCCATTAAAACATAATAATGAAATCTTTTCTTGTAAGTTGTATAGATCATAGTTTTTCTATAATTCCACTCTGAAAAACGTTACTATACAATATCATTAAAATGTCTTTCTATCTCACTTTTAGAATAACATTGTTTAGTGGTTAATCGCTTTTGAGTCGAGACTGTCTGGATCATGTAGATCCTGACAAGCTATGAATACAGTTCGCGCTGTTCGTTTATCGTGGTCACACGATACTAAATTTTTACGATATTTTCTAATATAATGTCGTGGACTCGTCAGAAACAATAGGAAAACTTATTTTTCAACTTCAAATCGAAATTTTGGATAAAGATAGGCCTTAACGAGAATATTTTATTATGAAATGTATGTCCATTTGATGATTCCTATTCTGAAATAAGAACATCAGAATCTGTCAATGTACATGAGTGACGCAGAAGACAAGCTTTTATAATAGCCGTATCTAAGAATAGAAACAATGGAAAGGTCTGAAACTTTCACAATATACTATTCTCGTTAAGGCTTGTTTCTGTGAAAAGTTCATATCAAAACTCAGTTTTCCTGATGTTTCTAAGAAGAACAACAATATTGTGATAAGGAATATCATAAAAACGCAGTATCTCAATAGCAATAACTCTTTTTCAGGCTATTCATAGCTCATTAGATGCACATAGTTTCAAGTCAAAAGCGATATATCATTTTAGGACTTTCTTTCGGTAAAGTTGTAAAATTCTCTTTCATTATAGGATATAAAATGTGAACATACATAAAAGTCGAGGATACATGACCGAGGTTCTTGCTCAATACCGGGTAAAAATCGCCATTCTGTTATTAAATGACTAAATAAACGACCATCAGAACAAACAGACTAAAAAAAAAGAACCATATTTAAATAAAATTAGATCAAATAAATCGTACTTTAACTAGCGTTGGTTTTTGATGAGTAACTAAAGCTAGATAACGTTCTTTAACGACTTGAAAACCAATTTCCATATTTGCTTTAAACATATTTGGATATACTGGTTTAAGTATATCCGATCGAATACACCAAGGAACAAATTCACGATATTTTTCTACGTCAACAACAACATGGTACATTTCTGCGGCTGTATAACTATATAATTAAACAAAGAGAAAAGATTCAAATTTTTCTTTTTTACTTCTTTTTTTATTCATAAAAATTTTACCCCAGTAAACGTCTTTCAGCATATTGTTCTGTTTTCTTTGCTGATTTAAAGGGAAATGCAGGTTTTGGTGCATTGAATCCGAATAAAGTTCGATGTTTGATCGAGGCTACAGATATAGGTTGTTGACGAAAGATGATATGCCATCCCATTGAAGCATACAGAAATATGAAATATAATAATAATAATTCTTGATCTATAGTTATACTATGGCAGTAGTTATAACTGGTGACAATATGGTACAGATGAATATGAATGAATCCCAGATACCCAATGAACAACATTCGATAGATTTCGCTATGTACCAATTCTCGTGATTTCGATTTCTTTGAAATCAATTATTGATAGAAATTATTTAATACTGACACATTACTGTTGAAAAAAAGTCGGGGCTAAATAGAATATAAAATCATCGAAGACTACATGACCTAAGAATTAAAAAGAAATAAGGTTTCATCTGTTATGCAACAGTTATCATACATAAAATTGATATTTTGATTGATAGATAAATGCTTCGAGAATAAAGTGTTAGTTTGTCGTTGATCTAATCTTGTGAACAAAAGTTTTAAGGTTATAAGATTTTCTATGATGAATTCATCTCATACTCATGAAAATTTATTTTCATTCTACTTGTCGTAGTATTTAATCATAATTCCTTCACATTTAATGTTATTTCATTCAATTATACTTGTTGCTTTTTATTGCAAAGATAGCCTTTTAAAATAATTTTCTTTTTCTTCTTTAAAAAATAAATGAAAAATAATACAATGAACATGTACTATTGAATTTTCATTCAATATAAGTATAGAACTTTGTTTTCTTTTTAGATGGGAATGAAACCCTATCTATGGGTACCTGCTGTGCCCATTGTATATACACATACCAACATTCATCAATTGAAATTGAGATGAAGCACATCACCAACCTGTTCAGTTATTTCCACTCAACAGACCAGTCATAGTCATTGTAGATGTAATGTTGTGAATGGCACTCGTGCTGTTTGATTTATATCAACTAGTATATGCATTGAATGAATTGTTACGATGATATCGTGTGAGAAGAAGAAGAAAAAGAAAAGAAATACCGCTCTATATGTGATGTTTGATAAGTCATATTCTATTGTTCTTGTGAACTCAATATGTGTATTAGATAATATAGGAAGAGTTCTGCTTTTTTTTTTTTTATTTCAATCCAATGTACTATAAGCAATAGTATTGACCAGAAGAAATTATTTGTTTCATGACAAGGTTGAACATTCAACAAAAATGCTTTGTAAAGGCTTCACTATTGGATTTTTCTTCTCTTTCGATACTTATTCTATGTTTGCCGATGCAGTCACACCAAATACATACATTACTCTTTTTTTATGATTTTTTCTCTCTCTCTCTCTTCTTCGATACATTATACTAAAATGTAAACATGACATGCCAATTGTAATTCTTTCTTTTTTTTTCTCTCCTTCAACTAACAAAAGTTATTTATTGATTAGTTTATATTGCAAGGTAAATTTCTTGTATATTTATTTTTTCTGGCAAGTAATTTTCTTGTTAAACAATCATATTGACACTGTTCTCCGTAATATTTTTCTTTGTTAGTATTTTTTTTTCTCTCTATTTATAAACTTATTCTAGAGAAATAATTTAAATTAAATATTGTTCAAAAAAAATCAAATGAAAAAAATAATTTATACTGTTTCACTCTCCTGAGCATAGTCATTTCGATTAGTTCTTATTCTCTTCTTATTGCAATAACAGAAATCCTACATAAACAAGAATAAGTTTATAGTTGTCTCTCTTTGTTGAATGTCCTTTTTTTTTTTTTTCTCAAACAATCATCAATACATTTTTATACTTAGACATACATTTAAAAGACGTAAAATGTTCGATCATTGTCAACCAGTATTAGTTAATAATCTTTATGGTTCATTAATAATTAATACTAATGATAATTCTTCATGTATGAAATCTAGACAATGGTTTTTTTTCTATGATTATGGTTATACATTATTAATTCGTTTGATTAATATAACTCAACTACTTTCAAATTCATTTATATTTAAAATTTATTCAATTATAAATAATAAAAAAACACTTATATATGATTCAACAAATATTACATTTGTAAATAATGAAATTCAATTTGATGTTAATAAGAAAAATTCTGGTGTTTTATTTGAATTAATATCTATTAATCATAAAAATATACAACAACAAACATCATTTATAATTGATTATGTTTTTCGAAGTAAGTATAATTCAAAATAAATTTTTCTTTCATTAAAAATAAAACTTCAATATTTTATAGCTAATTTTCAATCACGTTATGGACGACAAATACTTCAAGACAATTCCTCTTCTTCATCATTCAATGCCTCTCAACCATCATTTATTGCTTTGATATGTGTTATTGCTTTTCTTATTGTTGCTATTATTATTGCAATTTCAATTCTTTGTTATCGACATTATTCTCATCGAAAACATTCGAAAAAACATAATAAATTTCGACAAGTTTTAAATAATCAACAATCAACTGATCAAAGACATTTAGCTTCATCAATAACACCATCATCTATTTCATCATATTCAATTCGATCATCTCAACATTTATGTTCAGATAATCATTATCCAACTCAAATTCAACATCAACAACATCAACAACATCAACAACAACAACAACAACAAAATTCTTCACTTGGTCAAAGTATAAGTACATTACCATCAATGATTCCCTCACGTCGTTTACAACAATCAATAATGGATGCTTATTTAAATGATTTTGATTCATTTCAACCAACAATAATTGATCCAAAAAAATTACATTCATATTTATTTATTGATCTTCATTCAACATCAAGTGAAACATTTCCAGATGTTATTTCAAAACAATATCCAAATGACAATACAACAACAAGTGGTTATGATACATCAACTTGTATTGAAGATAGAAATTATAAAAAATCTCATCGTTATCGTCGTCGTCGTTATGTTTATCATAATCAAAGACAACGACGTCGTTCAACACTAGCATTAAAACGATCAAATGGTCCTCGATTTCTTATGCGTGAAAGATCATTACCAAATACACTTGCTAAACTTCCACAACTTCGTCAACAAAATCATTTATTTGACATAAAAGATCCTAATAATAGTAGTACAACAAGTAATACTAATCAAGATCATATATCAACAAATTTATCTACGACAACTGATGATTATGATGATAGTCATGCTTATCATGTTAATTCAAGTCGTATAATGAATACGATTGAAGAAGAACAACCTTCAATTATTCATAAATCATCATCTCGACAACCATATGTTTTTGAAATGGTTTCAACATATTGTGGTGATGATAGTGATATGCCAAATTATGAAGATATACCAATACCATTAAAATCTTCTTCGTCTATGATAGGCAATGGAATCGCTTATGTTAACGATTCAATTATTGTATAAATTATCGGCCTTCAAATTTTGTTTTTTTTTCCTTGCTTGTTTAAATGTCAAATAAGAGATTCAGAAATAAAGAAAAAAAGTGTGAGATCACAATTATGTATCTCTTTCTAATCACTACGAAAACAAAGAAAGCGAAATTAAAAAAAAAAGAAATTCCAAGGCATTTGAAATACGGGTTTAATAATGTTTTCTTTTTTTTTTTGGTTCAATTTCTTTATGAACGTGTTATTGATCGAAATCGAATTGCATCGAAAATCTGATCAATATATAGAACATATCGTCTACCAATAAATAATAAGGCAGCACTAGACGATAGACCAACTCCTAAACGAAGTGCACCGTTATCAGGAAAAATGGAGCGAATGATTGACATAACTAAAACAGTACCCAAATTGAACATAGCTGAACCATAAACACTACAGTTAAATTGAAATAATGCAAAAATCATCTTATTTTCTTCTATATACATATATATATATATTATATTACCTAAATAATAGACGATCAAATATATCAGCATTTCGTAAATGTTTTGAAACATATAGATATAGACCAACACCAAAATGGGATCCAATCCAAAGTGAATTAACTACGGGTACATTCAATTCAGGTCGAAGGATTCTATTTTGATGAAATTAACACAAAAAAAAAAGAAACATATTGAATTAATTATTTTTTTCTTATTTTGAATTATCAAACCTAGAAAAAGAATTCGGTGTAAGTACATGTGTTGAAAATCCGAAATAGAATGGCGTGATTAATATGGGACCATATTTTGCAAATAAAATTTGACGCCGAGCGCTAGGCAGCGGTGGTTCCGACATGATGAAATAATTCTCTAGGTTTCAAAGAATAAAAAACAAAAATGATTGCTTTTGAAAAAATCTGTATTTTTTCACATATCTTGTCCACAAAATCAACAACAAATGAAAGATATTGTTGACTTGTCTGTTATTATTACGAATGAATACGAAAAACGTCGCTAATGGTCTACATAAAAATATAGGGGTTCTTATTATAGACGCAACTGGATCAACGATCTTCCAATCGTCAGGTTTTTTTTTTCTTTTCTCTCTCCTTTTCTTCGTTTCTCCCGTTCTCTGTACGATGGATTTCATATATTTTGTCTCATCACTTTTTTTTGGGATAAGTTATTATTTGTTTCTTGGCCTTGTTGTTTTTTTATTTTGGTTTTCAAATAAACTTAGAATTTTTTGTGTTTTTCTTTATTTGAAAAATTTTAGTAGTATATATATAGGTTCAATTTTTGATAATGAATAAAATAATGAAAATCATATTTGAGATAGATTATGAAATAAGAAAAACGAAGATTTTTGGTAGAGTAGTATCCATGATTATATTCGTCTTTCTTCTTTCCTTTTTTTCTTGTTGACTGTAAGAGGTCAATCGTTTTTTTGTTAAAACAAGCGTCGTTAGTGTCGTCATTTCGACACAGCATGTTCTCTTTCGCGTTCTTTCTCGTCTATCCCATCATCATCCATTTTCCATTTTGCACAATTGTAAGCAAGTAATCGAGCCAGACAATTCATAGTATCAGACAATCATGCTTCTACGATATCTATTCAGAACGATGAGAAGGCTATCGTATTTAATAAACTTACTTATAGCATTTCTCTATGTGAACATATCATAGTGGTATCAGAACGTTTTATATACTTTTATTTAAAAGGGATGTTTATGACATCTTTTCAAGTACATAGGAGGGTTTAGGATTTTAAGATTACTAATAAAATTAATGCTTAGTGAAACATATATCCGACAATTGAATGTACTTGGAAATTTTGAGTAAAATTAATCGAGGCATTGGAGTTATTGTGAGGACTGATTTTCATTTTGAACGATTTGTATAACAATTGTTTATAATCTATATTTCATTGATTTTCTTTCTTTTATTGATTAATTTTTAAACACTTGAGAAAATAAATCATTTCCATATTTGTACATATAGTACCGCTTATACATTCGTCATCATATTCTATTGTTTTTACTTGACTATGAGTTGTTTTTAGGCTTCTAATTGTCTATTTCTGTTTTGATGTGTACGTATGTCTATGTTGGCTTCTTTACTACACTCATCACAAAACTACTTCATTTTCTTTTTATTTCATATTGTCAAATATATGTGAATAATTCAAGTTTTCTTTCTTTTTTCATTTTATCAAGTTTAAAATCGAAATATTTATGATGTTACCTTTTTCTTTTCATTCTTCTCATTCCTTATACTATGTACTAGTGCTAAGTATCTTCCGTCGTCAATAAATAAGAAAGTCGAGGTCTGGCAAAGATGCCAACAATGACGATCAAAAGAAATGGAGAGAGAGCGAGAAGAAAAAAAAAAAGAAGAACGAAATTCCGTATTGAGGGGGATGATAGAAGAAGATGAAGGGGTAGCTTACCCTTTTAGTTGTCTGGTAGCGACCCCATTAAATTTATTCTTCTTGTCGATTTCTCGTTTACCGTTCTTATACTACATGCTGCATCTGCTCACAGTACAGGTACAGTCATATAATTATTCTCTTGCGTTATATATTTTTTTTTTTGATATATTAAAATTAATCATACTGTGTCAAACTTTCAAATATTTGATTGCAATAATAATTTTTAGATTAAATTCAATGTCAATTAAACGACCTTTATCACCTGAATCAAATATTAATTTTATTAATAATACTCTAGGTCAATTAAAACGTTTAAAACTTCGTTCACTAATTGAAGAATTACGAAATGAAGAAGCTCACTTAGTTCTATTAAAAAAATTACGTACAAATCAACAATTATTAACACAAACAAATAATAATAATAATAATAATAATAATAATAATAATACAAAAGCATTAACAAATGGTTATCATCCTATAGAAAAACCTCTAATAACAACATCATCAATAAAACCAATAACTAATAAATCTCTTCAACAACAATCATTACCAAATACAACACGTAAAACATCGAATTCTCCATTATTAATAAATTCAAATAAAATATCAAAAAATCCGTCGTTTGAAGAATATAAAACTCAAGCTAAATTAGCATTACGTAAACAATTAGAACGTGATTTATTAAATATCTCATTACCAAAACCATCATTACAAGATATAACATTTATTCCAAATAGTACAAGTTTAGAATTTCAATTAGATCTTGGTCTTGAAGATGTTATACAATGTTTAAATGAATTACAAAATATTCGTCATCGTTTACCACAACGTTTTACTGATCATGCATTTATTGATGAACCATATATATGTGATCAATGTGGTACAGATTTTACAATACGTTGGTGGAAACATATAAATACAAAAATATCAAATCAAATTGTAACTATTTTATGTGATCGGTGTAAAAAACAGATTATTCGACGTACATCAAAATCTGAGCATTCAACATTACTAAAAAATGTTTTTATATCAGCTATGGAAAAAGAAAAAGAAATTGATAAACATTTTAATACACTTATAAAACAACAACAAAAAAATACATCATCTCGATTATCATCATCATCATCATCATCATCATCAAAACCTTTAACAACAAATATTCCATCAACAAATCATCAAAATCAAATAATAAAAACAAAAAATTCTTTATCACAAAATTTAACTTCAAAACATTCACAACAATTAACATCAACAATAAATACAAATCGAAGATCAAATGTTATTATTCAATCACGAACTAATCATCCAACTATTAAACATGAAAATCATTCTCGAATAATACAACATAATAAAACATCAATACCAATTCATCATTATCATCATCAACAACAACAACAACAACAATCTCGTTCAATAACAACTTTACCACAACAAACAAAAATTAATTCAACAGTTAAAATATCAAAACAAAATATGAAACGACAACCAATTATACCACCATCACGTTCTATACTTCCGTCTAATCCTGATCTTATAAATTCACTTCTATCATCGAATCTTGTAAGACCAACAGCTACAAAGCGATCAACATTTTCTACAGTTGAAAAGAAATAATAGCCGGAAAAAAAACACACTAAAATCGTTTGTTTATTTATAATTATGCCCTATTTTACAAATTGTATCTTTGATGTGCCAAAAAAAAGAAAGAAAAAAACCGACCTGACTAAAGATTTGATTATATGAAAAATATCGATGTAAGCTACTACCGTCGTGATATGATTTCTTATCATTAAATTCATTTCAAAATTTCTTACAATTGAGAAAATATTTCAAAACATCAAAAACTTTTCAAGGTCACCGCTGATAAATGCCTTTGCTTACGTAACTAATCACGAATTGTATAAATAACATACTTATGTTTATCTATAATACTTTAGAAGATACTTAACTCGTTGTTATTATAGATATTCTACAAATAACGTAATGTCAATATCAAGTTATATAACATTCTGATCGACAGTTTCATTGTGTTATTATAGCTGATTTTAAGTAATAGGAATACATACGAAGATTATTCAAAAAATTTCGAGACTGATTTTATTTAAAAACAATAAGAAGCACTGCTCCTATAGTACTATTTTCTGTGTGTAGTTCATACAGTCCTCGATTTATAGACGTCATAAGCTCTGATCGATTGAGGATTTATGTCCAGATATAGCAATGCGTTTTAGATCATCTCATATACATTGATAGAAAACCAGAAACTTGAGTAAAACGTTGTATTTTTTATGATGAGCTTCCGTCCAATATTTATGAACGTATGGTAGTAGCTTAAAGTAATGATACTCTATCATCCAGTATAGTTTTTGAATGGACTGGAAGTTTTAAAGATTGATAAGTAAACATTGATATATGAACCATGTATAAGTTTTGAGGTGCTATTAAATGTGACATTCATCTTGAATAGGTTTTAGTCATATGTAACTGATTATGTAAAATGATGTCATGCACCATGCATTCGAAATGCTTAAAGTGTCTGCTATTTGCTAAATTGTGATTTGAAACTCTTTGATGACTAACGAGGGAATCTCCCCAGATGTTACCTTCCGATTTTAGTGAGTTTTTATCTATAGATACTACATGGTGCCCTAGTGAAATCTCTAAAAGGATTTGGGTTCCTAGGTTTTTCTTCAAAAACTATGAATGCTCTGATTTTGCCTCTATAAGACATAACACACAATATTTAAGATAAGGCTCGCCAGACCATCAATCAAACCGGCTGGCGTTAAATTTTGTTTTTCCTATCTTTTAGGGGAAATGAAAGATTGTATCAGAAACCCTATAAATCCAATATATGAAGTTTTTCTGGAGTATTTATGAAAAATGTCAAAGATCACAATTATCGAATTTTTTTGGTTAGACCATAAAAGTTTTTAAAAAATGATTTTTTACCATTTTTATGGGTTTTTTGAGAATTTTTCTGTCTCTGATCGCTCCTTTGAACCAGAAGAGATCTTAAAAGATGCAGAACTTCAAGAGCTTACAGAAACTCGATTCACTTTTTTGCAATGCCATAATTCGATGAGATTCAAGGCAAATTACAAGCAAAAGAACAACCATCAAACATGGTCCTCCTTCTTTTGTGGAAGTTCATTCATTTGCTAAAACTTATTGTAATGAATAGTGGTATACCACATTTTGTAGAAAATTCTTTTCTGTATCTTTTAAGACCTCTTCTGGCTCAAAGGCGTGATCAGAGAGAGAAAAAAGTCTCAAAAAAACCCATTAAAATGGTAAAAAAATCATTTTTTAAAAACTTATGATCTAACCAAAAAAAATTCGATAATTGTAATCTTTGACATTTTTCATCAATACTTCAGAAAAACTTCATATATTGAATTTATAAGTTTCCCCATACAATCTTTCATTTGCATTAAAAGATAGAAAAAAAATATTTAGCAGCAGCCAGTCTGATTGATGGCCTGACGAATCCTCTCTCAAATATTGTATGTTATGTCTTATAGAGGCAAAATTAAAGTATTCATAATTTTTGAAGTAAAATCTAGGAACCCAAATCCTTTTTAGAGTTTTCACTAGGGCACTATGTAGTATCTATAGAAAAAAATTCATTAAAATCAGAGAGTAACACCTGGGAAGGATCTCTCGTAAGCCTCTAACGGTTTTAATATTTGTATCGTCCACATCAACAATTATCGTCCATCTTTAAAAATGTAATTCCGTTCATAAACTGTAGTGTGTGATGGAGTGTCGACCACCATAAGCTATCATCATACATTCATGAATATTGGATGAGGATTGGTCTTCAAATGCTAAAAAACTTTATCATTGAAGGATGCTCAAATTTTAAAATTTTCTACCAGTGTATATGGAATGATCTAAAAAGTATTGTTTTATCTAGACATTAATGCTTAATCAATTAGTGCGCATTAGTTCTATAGATCGAGAACTGTATGAACTATACACAGACAACAATAAAATAGTCTGAGAACTTTTTCAACGACTCTCATACTCTTAAATCTAAATGATGAAAGTGCTCTGATATATCAATCATATCATAAATATCTACTTCGAGGGAGAAACAATAAAAAATTATCAATGTTTTATAAGATGACAATGATTCTGACTTATACTATTGATGGGATTAAAAAGACTATTTATGATTCAATTCGATTCAACAATGAAGTCTTCATATGTATAGTACAAATAAAAATAATTTCTGTCAATTAATTAGATTCATTTATTTTCAATATTGTAAGAGAGAATCATCATATGGTCACTAATTAAAAAATGTCAATAGTAGTAATTTTTTATTCTTAAATATCATTTCAATTATTTAATAAAATAAGAATTGAAGTATGCAAGAAAACTTCTTCTTCAGATTTAAAACAATTTATTTTAGAATATTCTGATATTGATTGTTTATGATGTCATCAAATTTAGAAGGATATAATAGAATAACAGATGCATATTTTGTTAATTACTTAATTAAATGTATGAAGAATAGAAAGAAAAAGTTATTAATTAGATTGCGATTTATACTAGGAATTCGATGTCAAATAATATAAAAAAATCTTTGAAATAATTTTAATGATCGAATTGTATTAAAGATCTTACATCTATTCATCTTTTGAATAATATACTGTAATTTTTTATTTTATGCGATAAATCAAAATAAATCAATTGATTAAAATTCTAAATTTGTTAATTTCGGATCGATATTTTTAAATCTAAACCATTAAAGAATTCCTATAGACTATGACGTTTATACTAATTTAATAATGTATAGAACAATTAGTCAAGTTTATGATAAATATTCGAAAATAACTGAGCAAATTAACTTTATTGTTCATTGAAACGAATTTATTATGTATTGCCATAATATATGGAATTAATGAGATTCTCATTCAACTAATGAACTTAATTTCCGTTCTATTGATCGAGCTGAAATTTTCGATATTCATGACTTCTTGTTTAAATTAACTTTTCTTTTGATAGATCACCATGCTTTATCAATCATACCAATACACATCTACATGATGAACCTTTTATTTATGTATAGCAATAATCATTTGTATCTTGATCAGATTATTTTTAATATTGATTTAGATCCTTATTCTGTTAATATATTATCCATTGAACAAGACCATCGATTACCAGACAACATATGTTCATACATTTCTGATCTTGTCATAAATCAATAACCGATCAACACTATACTCATTTAAAGTTAGTCGACAATCTCCTTGTCAATATAGAAATTTGTATAGATGTTGATAACATGTCAAAAACATTACTATACTTCATCGTATTTTACATGGAAAAGTAGATGTCACTCTTTATAGCAAATATGTTGCTTCTTGTGATGATATAAAAATATCAAAAATAAATAAAAATATTATTATTATTTTGAAATAATACTCACATAGCTACAAAATCAAATTTTAAAATTAATCTTGAAAGTAAATATTTCAAAAAAAATAATGTTGACATATAATTTTAATTGGTTACAACAAAACTATCGTACTTAGTCAACGAACAAGCATGAAAGAGTTAATACAATTGGAAATTAGTTGAACTTATACATAGAAAAACAATCTTCAAAGCATGACCAACTGACATTGTCTATCAATTTGTTCATCTATTTATTCTCTAGATTATCTGAACAGACATAGATACGTCTGTTTATGTGACATACATCTCTGTTGTATGCCATCCTAAATTTTCAAATATTCTACCTTCATGGGAAATCGATTTGCAAGTTCGCGTCAAAAAACGCGTAGTAACGGTTATAAATATCAAAATAATTATTATAATAATGGAGTAATAACAAGTAAAAGTACTGATGAATATACTCTTAATCCACGATCACATACTTCACATTCAAATGGTTATATTCCACAGCAAAATCGTCTATATTCAAATAATTATGGACAACAAAATGGAGCATATTTAATGACTAATACACAAACTCAATATCCACTAACTCCAGCACAGCATCAGAATAATAATAATAATAATATAAATACAAAATCAAATTCAAGTAAAATTATTTTTATTAGTTTATTTTCTTTTTTTTTAAATTGAATTCTTGCTGTTAGATAAACTAATTTATGTGGCAAATTATGATTTTAATGGAACATCAACATCTGGTGAATTAAGTTTTGTCAAAGGCGATGGATTAGAAATTCTTGATAAATATACGTAAGTTAGTCTAAATATTAAATTTATCCTCACAAATTTACAATTAAACTAGATTCAACAATATAATAAAATCTCTTGATTGGATTGATAGATCATTTTTAAACAACTTTTAGAGAAATTTCGAAAACTTTTTTGTTTTCATATAGTTATAATGACTGGTGGCAAGCGAAAAATGTACGAACAAAACGAATTGGTTATGTTCCAGCTAATTATATATCAGCGATAAATGATTTAACAGCATATGAGTAAGTCATTACATTTAAAAATATCATGTATAGTATGAAAACAAAATCTAGATGGTTTTTTGCCGAAACAAATCGTCGTGATGCTGAACGATTTCTTGAACAACCACATCATGGTAAAGGAACATTTTTAATTCGACCATCGGATAC